CTCCCCTGCCTGGCCTTCCTGAGGTCATCTTCCAGATAACCCTGGAGACACGGCTCCTTGTCTCCGCATCTGCTTTGGAGGCACCCCGTGGTTGCTCTGGGTCTGGTCTCGGGTGGGGGCAGCCATGTCCGGCATAGACCAGCTCAGTGGAGCTGCTGCTGGCTGTGGGAGCACCTGGCCTCCAGGGGCCAGGCCCCTTCAGGGGGGGATGCGGGCTTTTCCTGTGAGCCTACTCTGCAGACCTGAGTGAGGCCAGGAAGCATGGGTCAGAGGGACTGACCTAGCTCTAGCCCCTCCTTCCTTGGTTGTTCAGGGCGTAGCAACTGCTGGGGTGGAGGCTGGGGTAGGATCTGCTCTCCAGGGAGGGACCCAGGCCAGGGGACGATGGAACCCAGCCATAGCTTCTGAGAAGGCAGGGAAGTGGTGGTCAGAGACAGGACTCAGCACAGGGCTTCCTAGAGGGAGGCACTGAGCAGGGCCTTTGGGAGGAGCTTGACTCTACCTGCCCTGGACCAGCGGCCATGGACGCCCCGGGGCATGCAATCCCTGGGGGATGCAAAGGAGAAACAGTCTGACATCTGGCTTCTGGAAGTGAGACAGGGAAGCTGCTGGGTCGTGAACCTCTAGGACTGGCCTGGTGTGGCCTGGCAGGGGTCATGTTGTATATAGGGCGATGGGGGCCACCTGGGCCAGCTCAGCCCCAGACGTGCTCTTGGTACACCACCCTCATTTTGCCGACAGACAGGTACACCGGGAAATGACGTGCCCCTTTTCCGTGGTTTCAGGCCTCATTACCAAAATCCTAGGGATTAATTTAATTACACGCTGATCTAAGAGAGGCTGGGAGCACCCAATGAGATCATGGCTTTGAGCCTGCTGGGGTGGGTGGCCTCCCAGGAAGCCGGCTCTCCTGGGATCTTCTGCTCCTTGGTCCCTACCCAGGAGGATCCTCTAGCTTTTATTACTTCCGCTCCTGACCCAAGGTGGGCCAGAAGACCTGGTTCCTCACAGTGTGGAGAGGCTGGGTTGGGGAGCTGGGGGACCTAAAACCTCAGTGGCTTCAGTGGGGGTGGGATGGGCTAGGAGATGGGAAGGTGGAATAATTAACCCATTCTTCTAGTTTATTAAAAAAGAGGTGTTCCCAACCCTAGAAGTAGAGTGTTTGAAAACTGACAAGAAAAGGTGTTAATAAATGACACAGACCGTGCATTCTCTCATCTATTGTCAGTATTCCTTCCTTTTCTTTCTTGTGATGATACTGAGGGTTGAACTCATGTCTCTTGACAGGCTGGCTAAGTGCTTTACCATTTGAGCCACGCCCCCAACCCCATTGTCAATATTTCTATGTACTTCCTTCCTAAATTTATTTCAGTGCATAGATATTTTTAAAATGTTGCAGCCATCATCCATATAATTTTGTGTCCAGTTCTTCCCACTGGCATTTTAAGTGTCTTTCCATATTGTTTGGAAGGGAAACTTTCTAAACATCATTTGAATGATGACAGGGTGGAACTTGGAGCTATTGTGGGACAAACAGTTATTTCCAGTTTTGGCCGTTTCGACTGTCTTCACAATTAGAATTAATTCTTTAGGATAGATTACATCGGAACTACTGGACGGTCTGCTGTGTTTTTTAGACTGCTACATTGTTCTTTTGAAACCACAAAGGCGGAGCCCAGCAAACGCTGGTGGTCTGCTGTGCAGTTGCTTTGAGCAGCTACAGGGACAGAGGCTGGGCTGGGCCTCCATCTGGATCCCTAGAGGTGGCCTGATTGGTGTTCACGTGTGGCCTGCCGGGTCTTGCCTGTGACTCCCCAGACTCCGTGTCTTCTGGGTGGTTCTGTGGCACCTCAGCTTAATACCGTGTCTTGAGCCCTTGGTCACAGCAAGTGGCTAGATCTTCCTTCTGGTTGGTGCTCTGCCCAGAAAGCATGGTCCCGCAGTGCGGTGCTGTGGCAGCAGGGAGGGGCTACGCGGCTGCGCCTGGAGACTTTGCCGCAGCTGAGGGTCCAGGAGAGCTGGCACGGGGGCTGCGCTTCCCCTCCGAGACCTGCCAGCTCCTCTCTGCCTGGCTCAGCCCCTGAGTGGGGGTGCTTCGTGCCTTGTGGCCTTACCTGGAGAAGGTGGACCGTGGCTGCCTGGCCTTCCCAGGCTTCAGTGAGGCGCCACTCATCCCCAGTGCCCCGCCTCTTTCCTCCAGTCCACCCACAGGGTAGGAAGATTGTCGTCTTGCTTCCCTCTGTCACAGAGATGCCCAGTGCACCCCAGTGCCAGGCCTTTCCATCACGCCTGTGTGTGCAATAAGTGTGGGAACTCATTGGCATTGACTGGCCAGTCAGGAAACTGAGGCCACTCCAGGGCTGTCCCGCCCCTGCCCGGCCCCCACCCCCTTCTCAGGGCAGGGCCTGAGCGACGAGGCCAGTGCAGCTCCCCCCTCCTCTGGTCAGCTCCGGAACGTTCTGTCACTTCTGTGAAGTGTGCCGCGTCCGTCCCTCTGTGTCTGGGAACCTTGCCTTGTTAGCTCTCATCCACTGGAGCTGTGTGTGCCTGCGTGGTGAGGCTGGGGCCCATGGCAGAGCTCCCCCACTTGAGCTGTCCTGGGCTGGGTACTCTCATTGCAGAGGGTGTGGCAGGCCAGGCCTTGCCAGGGAGCCGCCCTCCCCTCTTCTCCTCTGTAGAACCTCCACATTCCCGAGCAGTGACTGTAGGGAATGGAGCGAGGAGGAGGGCTCTTCAAGTGGGCCGGGCTCTGTGCATCTGTGGGGCTGGGCCGAGTGGGCAGGGGCTCCTGAGGGTCTTGCAGGTGAGCTCTAGGAACAGAGTACTCCCAAGCAGGCAGGCTGAGGCACCTGTGTGCGCCTGGGCATTCCTGGGTGAGTATTTGTGGGTACTGTGGGGTCCCCGCCTGCCTCTCCTTTAGCCTGCAGAGTCCCTGCTGTGCACAAGGATGCCTGGGGCTGGGCTCCTCGCCTTGCGTTGGCCTCATGGTAGACAGGTGCTTCTCTGTTCTCATGGGTAATAGGGCATCCTTGGCATGTCTGCAGCAGCACCCAAGCCCACTCTGCCCACGCAGGGCTTGTAGAAGCTCTTAGAATCTGTCCCTCATCCGTAAGTCTTCTGAGGCTTTGGCCAAGGGATCTGATGCCCAGTCCTTCTGAGGTCAAGGGCTGGGCCGTGAACCCAAGAAGATCTTGCTTCACATCAGAAAAACAGGCAAAATGGGCTGGGAATGTGGCTTAGTGGTAGAGTGCTTGCCTAGCATATCTGAAGCCCTGGGTTCGATTCCTCCATACCCAGATACACAGAGCCGGAAGTGGTGCTGTGGCTAAAGTGGTAGAGTGCTAGCCTTGAGCAAAAGAAGCTCAGGGGCAGTGCCCAGGCCCTGAGTTCAAGTCCCAGGACTGGCCAAAAAAAAAGTAGAGCCCTCCTCTGGTGGGTTGGATATAACATCAGGAGGTAACCAGCCATGAGGTGGACAGTCCTGGCCAGCGCCTGGCCCCTCTACGCCTCTGGAAAGCAAAGCCATGATCTGGCCTAAGCCTGTGGCTGTGTGCCACCCAGGGAGGTGTCCCATGTCATCCGCACTAAGAGGTGCTCGGGACAGAGATCCTGCGGTTCCCCTGCCTGAGTCCTGCCCCCTGCTCTGCATGGAGGCAGGTTCCATCCTCTCCGGTGGCTCTGCTTCTCTGCTGCCTTAGGAGTGGCAAGGGTGGTGGTGGTGGTAGAGTGACATTTTGCTTGCTTTTCTGTTGTGATTTTTAAAAAAAGTGAGGTCAAAGTGGTTTGGATGGGTAGGTTTCCCCTCCTTGGAAGTGGATGGGTAAGGCTTTTGGCCTTCCCTATCCTCATTCAGAACCTGGGCCCTGTGACTGGGGAGTGCCCCTCGAGAATCTCGCTGGGGCACGTGGCCCAGCTCTGGGCTCCTGCTTTCTCTAAGCAGTAAGAGTGGCATAGGACAGGCAGCCATCACTGGGAGTCCTTCCCGCCTGCCTGGTGTGGGTTGTGTAAGAAGTTCCTGTGTGAGAAGCTTGCCTGGTGGAGTAGCGATCCCAGGTGCTGACTTGGTGTGTGAGTCTGACTTTGGTTTCTGTAACAAAGTACCTGACTAAACCAACATCAAGGAACAAAGGTTAATTTTGGCTTGTGGTTTGGAGGTGTCAGTTCTCAGGTCAGCTGGGTTGATTGCCTTAGGCATGAGGTGAGGCAGAATAGCATGGCTTTGGGAGTGTGTGGTGGAGCAGGCTGCTCACATGGCTGAAGCCAGGAAGCTGGGAGAGGGGGAGGGAAAAGAGGGGAGCTAAGTTAGTGGGCTTCAATTTTCTCTCCCTCCCTCCCTCCCTCCCTCCCTCCCTTCCTTCCGTCCGTCCTTCCTTCCGTCCTTTCTGCTGGTCCTGGGGCTTGAACTCAGGGCCTGGGCACTGTCCCTGAGCTTTTGCTCAAGGCTAGTGCTCTACCACTTGAACTACAGAACTACTTCCAGCCTTTTCTGTGTATGTGGTACTGAGGAATTGAACCCAGGGCTTCATGCATGCTAGGCAAGTGTTCTACCACTGAGCCACATTCCCAGGCCCCCTTTTCTACTTTTACTCTATCCAGGCCCCCAGCTGATTTGATGGTGCAGCCCATATTCAGGGCTAGTCAATCAATTCTGGAAACTCTCTCATGGACACACTCAGAAGTGTGCTTTATTAATCTCCTAAATGTATCTCAATCTAATCAAGTTCAGTCTAGATTAACAATTACACTTGGCCTGCTCAGCAGCCTTGGTTTCCCCGCTACATGGTAGAGAAGGGCTTCCTGGGGTGGTGGTCCCTTGGTTCCGGGAGTGTATGAGAACATGTTTTGGGCCTGAAATGTAGAAGCAGAAGGAATCCATCAGTTTTCTACAGACCCCAGAAGTCAGGCTCAGAGGCAGTCAGGATGGGGCTGGTTCTGCGCTGGGGAGAAGAAGCCTGCTGTGATTAACGTGTCTTCCACTGCCTCTGTTCTCTGTCCTCCAG